CCCAACTATCAGTTGATGGTTTGTGCTAAGCTAGGAAGGCGGGCTGATGGGCTGGTAGGCTCCCAACGGGGAGCCCTAGGTGGGAAGGCCATGGGTGTTAAGCCTCTCTGGGATAGACAGAAATGGCTCCATGACTCTTCTATCCTTACTTTGGTTCCTCACATGGACTTGGCTCACCTCAATGGCCTGGGATATTTCCTGGAATCCCAGCAGAGAGGTCAAATGATAAGCATTCCACCTGTTACTTTGGTGCAATTGGGGCTGACTTCCACCATGGGACTTCTGGTGCTTTGTGGTTCATGTGGTCAGCCCTGTGTGAACCAGGTTCCTGACTGCCAAGCCAGACTTGCACCCTAGGGGCCTCAGCGTGGAACTACCCTCCCAGTCTGAAGATGTCTGCTTGCCTTGCAGAGGCCCGTGTGAACTGTTCACTTCACCCTCTGCTTCTGGAAAGTTCAGCTTCCTGCCCCAATCTCTATGCCAACTGGGTGGTCATTCTCCTGCTGGTTACCTTTCTGCTGGTCACTAATGTGCTACTTATGAACCTGCTGATTGCCATGTTCAGGTACCCTCCTTCTTTCCTGGCCATCTGCCCGTACTACGTCCTTGCTCCCTTTTCTCAGTGGGGCTGGTTTCAGGATGCTGGCAGATATAGAACCTGTGTCCTTAGTAGAAAAAACCTAGTCCCTCTTGCTGCTGTGTCCACTGGATTGACCCTGCAGTAGAGAGCCAACACCCAAGGTCTGGGCATACTATGAGCTCAGTGGATGCTGTCTATCCTTCCAGGAAGGAGAGTAAGTCTACAGGGTTGGGGACTCAGGACTGATTAAAACCCTGCAGTGAGTATGCCCCACTGCAGTACACCTGAGTGTGACCAAGGGGTTCTAGGCCCCTGTCTTAATCTCCTCTCCATTGCTGTGATAAAGTTGCCTGAAAGCAACTTAGGGGAAGACCCAGTTTATTTCATCTTACACGCCCAAATCCCAGTCCATCACTGAGGGAAGTTGGGGCAGGAGCTCAAAGTAGGAAGGCACCACAGAGGAATGCTGTTGGCTGGCTCACTCAGGCTCATGTTTAGCTAGATTTCTTGCATAGCCCAAGCCCTTTTGCACAGAGAACAGTGTGATCCACAATGGGTAGGGCCCTCCTACATCAATTAATGATCAATATAATCCCCCACAGACATGCCCATGGAACAATATGATCTTGACAGTCCCTCAATTGTAGTTCTCTTCTCAGTTGACTCTTAGACTGTCAAGTTAACAGTAAAAGCTAACTATGTTAGCCTCCATCTCTGAATTGGGCTCCCAGGACAGGCCAGCTGCCCTCTGGATGCAACGGAGGATGACATATAGGGAGTGGGAGGTGAAAGGTTGAGATGGAGGATAGGAAGTGGGGATACAGGATGGGGTGGCATATGGGGTGCCAAGTTGAGGTAGGGTGCTTCTATGAGCAGGGAGAGCAGCTTATAAGGCAAGGACTTGGCCATGTGTCCTGTAGCTACACATTCCAAGTGGTCCAGGGCAATGCCGACATGTTCTGGAAGTTTCAGCGCTACCACCTCATTGTTGAATACCATGGGCGACCAGCTCTGGCCCCGCCCTTCATCCTGCTCAGCCACCTGAGTCTGGTGCTCAAGAGGGTCTTCAGGAAGGAAGCACAGCACAAGCGTCAACACCTTGGTGAGGCCAAAGGCTGGATGCCACTGTTCCCAAGGGTCCTGCTTCCAGAGAAGACTCACAGAAGGGACTGGGATTTCTCATCTAGGCCCTGTCAAGGCTAACTAAAACTATAGACCCATATTAGACAGCCATGAGACTATGCTGTCTCCTTGCAGCCCAAAATTCCTCTATGGGGCTTACTTTTGCCATCTGCCTTGTGCTTTGCCTGGTGGCATCTGCCCTAGTCCCTTGCCACAGCCTGGGCCTGGGCTCTGCCCTAGGGGCCCACACAACTCTCCAAAGCTTGCTGCTGTCTCCTGCCTTGCCAGAGAGAGACTTGCCTGACCCCTTGGACCAGAAGATCATTACCTGGGAAACAGTTCAGAAGGAGAACTTCCTGAGTGCCGTGGAGAAACGGAGGAGGGACAGTGAGGGGGAGGTCCTGAGGAAAACAGCACACAGGTGGGGAAGCCCGTGGGACCCCAGATGGCGGGCATATGAGTCTCAGGCCAGCAAGTGCCATCATTTCTGTCCATGAGCTGATCAGAGATGTAGAAAGGGCCCTGTCAGGAGGCAGGTGGACTCAGATGCAGTGGGGCTGGGTTGACCTTGGTCAGCTGTGTGTTATGAGGGGCAATAAATCTGGGAGGGGCTCCCAAGTGCAAGCATGTGGAGGTGGGTAAACATCTAGTCTTTTCAGTAATGAGTGGGGTTTTCTGAACTGCCTTAAGGCTGGGTGAGACTCTTCAGTGTCAGTAATAGGACCTCTGAGCTGGGGAAACATGACTGGGTCATAAGACCCAGCACTCCAGACTCTTGCTCTAGGGGGAGGACGTGTGTGTGGCAGGGAGACATTGGGAGCATAAGCCCATAATTAGGCATCTTTCTGCAACGGGACTCTCCCTTCATCCTCTCTCAAGTCTGAAGATCCACCCTCAGTCGATGCCGGGTGGTGGAGGGACTGTTCCTGAACACTTATGGGGATGACCTGCTGTTTCTTCTCTTGCTGGTGGTCTATTCCAAGCAGGGACAGGACCTCAATCTCTGGGGACAGAGGCAGTACAGAAGTGTTCTATAACTGTAGACAGGTCCCAGATCAAGATTGGGAAGAAAGTAGAACAACAGGCAACAGCAGTCTGAGGCCCTGAGAAAGCATTTAGGGTAGGCAGGCTCCCTCTTGTGGAGTGCCATGGAGGTGTCACATCTACGACTGTCCCTACTTTCCACAGAGTGGATTTGATTGCCAAATACATCGTGGGGCTGAGAGAGCAAGAAAAGAGGATCAAGTGTCTGGAATCACAGGCAAGCCAACAACCCACTGTCCGTTCTTCTTGAGGTGGGGCCATCCTTTTGCTTCTATGGGAACTGCCACAGGCCTGTACTGGATTCCTAATGGACGGTATTAGGCCCTGTACAGAGTGGAGGGATTATGGGCAGGGGGTGCTTGTTCCTGCCCCAAGTCACTTTAGAGACCCATTTTTCTTCTAGAACTGGTCCAACAAAACCTAGATTTACCACCACATCCTGTCACCATTCCTTATCATGCACTATGGTGGATTTCTTGGGGCAGCAGTAGGCCTGGCAGGAGGGGAGTCACATGGGAGGGACACTGTGCCAAGGTCCAGCACCTCCCTTGGCTCATTCCAGGCCAACTACTGTATGCTCCTCCTGTCCTCCATGGCTGACACAGTACCTCCAGGTGGCAACTACCCAAGTAAGTACTGTTCAGGTCATGGGCATGAGGTGGGCATGGGCTCCTTTGTTAGGCCACTGGATTAGAGCAAGGCTGTAGGCCTTCCTTCCTGCCTTCCCCAGCTGTGTTGGAGGTTCTTGCTGTCCTTGACAGACTACGGTGCCTGAAGCATACAGGTGCCTATGGGCAGAGCCATAATGTCCCAAGGTTCTGCCTAGCACTGGTCCTGCTGGACCGAAGCCTTATCACTTTCCATGCCCTGCCCTGTCCCAGCTGGGGTTCCACAGCTGAGGGTCCTTTCTCCCTTCCTTGCTCCCAGGCTCTCAGAACTGTGGCCGCAGGAGTCAGCCAGCCTCTGCTAGAGACAGGGAGTACCCAGAGGCTGGCTTGCCACCCTCAGACACCTGACATGGAGGGATCACCTGTCTGTCCTAGAGCCCCAGGCCTTGCCATCTGGGGCTTTTGCAACACATCAACCTTCCCCTACTCCCAGCAATCTCCAGAAATGGTCTTCTAGGCGTTGCCATAGACTTCTTGAACATCCCTTCCTGTGAAAATGAAACTGTCTCTTGGCACCTATCTGGGAGCTCCATCGGTGTCTTCTCCAGTAGGGGAAATTCTTTCAGTCCTACCTAGAGCTTTCACCGGCTTGGACTAGACAGCAGGAACTAGTGACACTATCTGCCTAGGCTGAGCTACTTGGGTCTAGACCCGTCCTACCCTTAGTTCCTAAGAAACTGACCTCTTAAAAACTAGTGACTTCTTTCTGCCCTCAAAGACACACTCCTCATCAGCTGACCAGCCTCTAGAGAACTGGTAATCATCGACTCCCACCGTTCTGCCCCCACTGCATTTTCTGTGTAACCATTGTGGCATTAACCCAGATACTGTTCAAGGGTACCCAATGCTGCTATAAAGCCTGCAGACCAGCTCAACTCAGTTACACTGGACTACAGGAATGGCTAAACATGCATTTCAAACACCTGGGGAACGTGGAGTTACCTGACTTAGTGAATGCCATCTCAGTTGCTTCCTCTGATTCTCAAATCATATGACCATTCAGGCTGATCCCTCCTTTTGGGGGGACACTCAAGCCCTGGAATATGGGCTACAGAGGCCAGGGTAGATCTGATACTTAGCGTACCAGGCTAGCAAGTCTTGTCCAAGGCCCTGGCCTCAGCATGAAGTACTCATGTGCCTTCCCTGCATCCTTCTCTTCCTCCTGGGCTTCAGCTAAATGACCTAGCATCAGCCTAAGCACCAGCAGTGTCCTACACAGAGGTCACAAGTCCTGAAGACATACACCCAGGTCACACCAGCTCTACCTTTAGTTTGGGTGGGCACCTGCCCAACCTCCTTTGCTGGCTCAATCTACCCTCTTCCTAAAACTGTGGCCTGTACAGTAGAGGCTGTGCTGGTTTCTGGGAGACAGATTATGTTCATCCATTACCATCAGAGGTACAAGGCTGAACATGGCTATGAGCCCAGTCCCTCTGGGTAGGTTTACCAGTGGCAAATGTAAATGATCATGGCAAATCTTTACAGCAGTCCCCACTGGAGTGGGGAGGGTAAGCTAAGCCTGGTGTAGGGAGTTGTCAAGGACTGTTTGGACAGATCTTGAGTAGGGGCCAGAAAAATTCACAAAATTCAAGAAATATCCCAAACCTTTATTTTTCACCCCAAGAAACTGGGGCACAAGGTCCCATAATCCCCAGTCTTAATCAGAGTTGCTGCACACACGCCCCTCCTACAAACAGCCACAGCTTCCCACATGGACTGCAGTCAAACTGAGGGTCCCTTCTCAGACCCTGGCCCCTCGGGGTTACTGTCTCTGTTCCGGAAGTGTTCTCTGCTCCGCTTCCTGCTGCCATGGAAACCAACAGCCTCCATCCCTGTGGGGTCTACTGCGGACCCGGGATGGTCAGCTCCTGAAGGTATCAGTACCTCTTTCAGTCCCTGGTGGCCACTCCACTCCTCAGGCTCAGGCCCAGCCAGATGGGCCAGCTCCACAGAGGCCTCACCCAAAGCATTTGACACATCCCCCTTCTTTAGGACCCTCTTCCTTTCAGCGGCTCGCACTGGTTTGGTAAAGACCACTCTCCCCTCCCCACAGCTAGAGGGGTCCTGGTTGAAGGAGGGTACATAGTCCGTGGGGGATGCCTGGCTTCGAGAGCCCAGGAAGGCCAGAGCAGCAGCACGATTGCTCTGCTCACTGGCTTCAGCCACATCTTCCAGGCTGTACTTGGTCCAACGCTCAGGATGTGACACATAATCAGGCACAGGAGGTACCCTGGTTGGGCCTGTGCTCCCACGCACTCTGCTCAGATTCCCTGTCGGAGTCTGACTTGGGGGAGTCACAGGTCGCTTGAAGCTGCCATTGTCAGTCACACTGGTTTGGGGCGCAGAGGGCGGTGCCTGCCGGGCTGCACTCTCCAGACAGTCAAAGATGCTGTGACTGCGCTGGGAGAAGATGGAGCTCATGCCGCGGAGGTGGAACGGCTCAACTGCGGTGGTGGGGACGCCCGTGTGGGGTGAGGGAGGCTCATCAGGGCCGGAGTCCTCTTGGGCTTCCCCGGAAATCCTTTCCGGGGATAACACTTGCACCTCAGCACCACTAGGTAAGCTGAGGTCGGAGTCCGAGTCGCTGAGTGAGACGGTGTCCGAAGGCAGGGTGTCATCTTCGGTGGGTTCCTCAGTCTCCACGCCAGTCTCCGCCTCTGCCATGCTGACCTGGAACCCTCTCCACCTGTAGCGAAGCAACACAGGTTCTGCCGTGAGGGGTGTACTTGGGCAGCGCGCCCCCGCCCCGTTCTCCCAGGCTCCCCCCCTTCACCTCCACTATGTGCCAGGCGCCTCCGCTCACAATCGGGCTCTGGCTGGTCGCGCAGGAGGGAGGAGGCCTAGCGAAGCCGGGTGGCGAATAAAGTGTGTCCTCGCGCGCACTGATGTGGAGCAGCAGGCTAGATACAGTTAAGGAGAGAGTCAAACCATGAGATCAGAACAGTGCGGACATATAAAGGATGCGCGCTAGGAGACATAGGCTATCGGCCAGCAGCTCATCTCATTACCGGCTCTCAGCAGAGCGCAGCCTCTCCGGGTACACAGAGCCACCGGAGGCACCATCCGGGTACGGAGGGAGAGCTGGCAGGGGTCTGGCCTGGTCGCGCGGTCCTAATGAAGCCAGCGCTCACCGTTCGACAGTCTGTGGACGCTGCAATAGCCAGCCACCTTACCCGCAGCGTCCCGCCGGTTCCGCGGGATACGGGCCGTGGCCCCGCCCGCTCTCGCTGGGCTTTCTGGGAAACCGAGTCTGCGGCTGTCTGAATGTTGCAACTTTAGCGCCCAAGGAACTACAACTCCCAGAAGGCAATGGGCCAATGCTTACTGCTTGCCGGGAGGTGTAACCTTTACGTATACGTCATCACGTAAGACCGGAGCGGACACGGAAATCTACCCGGAATTGACGAAAGAGGAAGAGGCGGAGCCAAGGGCCTCGGTTCCCATAACACGCAGGGCCAACTGTCAATCGCAAAGGGTTGAGGCCTCCAGCGCCGCCTGTCGAAAGCCGCCTGAGCAGGGTTCGTCATTGGAAGGAAGTGCGTCACCACGCTCTGCGGGCGTCAACCAGTATCCTAGCCAGAAGTGGTGCTGATCTTGTTCTCCGTTGGCTTCTTGGAGGGGGCGGGACTTAAGTGCTAGTTGGCCCTTGGCATCTAGAGAAGCGGTGGGCTCTGGGGTGTTGGATAAGTTGTTTGGGGCTGCAGAAATTCGAGGTCTCTCCCCTAGACTCTGCTTATCCGTGCTTGGCCACCGACTCCATTATTTAAGGCCACACACAACTCCCCTCTAGACTTGGGGCTGTCCTCTTGCATCCCTGGGGACCAGAGTCTGAGAATCCACTGGACTGCTGCGTGCTCCCCTCCTTCGGCTGGGGGACGGTGGAGACTAGAACGCCCGAGGACAAACTTGGGGTTCATTGACCAATCAGTCTACTGGGAGGCTGCTAGGAGCTGGGACCTGAACCTTAGCCAGACTTTCTCTCCTCTAGAGGCCAATTAAATATGCCAGCAGCCTGGGAGGGATGCAGACAGGAGTCAAAGCAAAAGACAGTAGTGGTGATAGTTGTTGGTGTCCCAAGAGGTTGCTTAGCCTGACCACAGGGCTGAGCTGAGTGGGCTGCCATCTTGCCTATTACCCCTTGAGACACAGGTCAGAGCCACCCAGCTCTGTAGAACATTTCTAAGCACCTAGATACTTGGGATGAGGCAGTGGTCTAACCTTTACTGTGGTGTCCTGTGGGATGGAGTGGGAGGTGTGTGTGGGAGGGTGTTTTTTGTAGCTTATCCCCAGCATTCTGTGCCAAATTTTCCTGCTGTATGGCCTCTCCTACCCGTCTCAGAGTGACTTGGGATGTCCAACAGATGAGAGGAAATGAGGTCAAGGCTAAAATAAGGTCAGCCTTGGGCTCCCAGTACAGGGAGGTAGAAATGAGGGAGTGCTCATAGGGAGTGCTCCCAGGGTCCCTATCCCTCCCACCCAATGCGTTCCACAGCCTCTCTTGGACCTACTCACCCTGTGCCTGGCAAAGTCCAGAGCTGAGCCTGGTCTCTGACACCACCGGCACAGGAAGAGGTCTGACAGTCCCGTTAGCATGCCTGATTTTCTCCTCCTTTATTAAATGACTGTTTCAAGATGTAATTACAGTTGAAGCTGACACGTTAGAAAGAACAGGTGCATTGAAGGCATAAGAGTGCTTACAAACCCAGCTCTTGAAATGGGGGGCAGGAAAGGGACAAGGATTAAAAAGATGTGACGGATGTGACCCACAGTGGGCAGAGTGAGTGGACATGGCTCTCTAGCTCAGCTACATAGCCTCGGGCAAGCAGCTGTGGAGGAGGACTGGCTCAGCAGGCAGAGCTCTCCAGGGGTCCCGGAAGTACAGGGCCCTACAAGCCAGGGCCAGCTCCACCCCTACATTCCCACACTTGCCACCTGTGTGTGATGTCAGCCCCCAAAAGATAACAGGAAAAGTTCAGAACAACAACAAAAAACCCCTCAAAGTAAAAAGGCTAAGTGTAGCAGAGTAATACAGAAATATATACACAGGCCATGGTCCCCAAGCTGGCCTCTGGTCACTCGGGGACAGGGCACTGCAGGGTCCCTGTAGTACAAAGTTCAGGGCCTCAGTACACGGAGCTGTTCCGGATGCCACAGCACAGAACCATGCTCAGAATCATCTCGAAGATCTGCAGGAGGGAGGGGCATTGTCAGCACCTAGGACCTTGGGAGGGATGGCACCCACCCACCAAACAGAGGCCCTTGTGCTCACCATGATGACGGCTACCACGATGGCCGCAATACCGATTAGGTACAGCTTCCCAGAAAAGAGCTCATCGATTTTCTGATGGCAATCCTCCTGCAGGGATGACCAGAAGGTGGTAACAGTCAGTGGTTAAGTCAAAGTCACTACCCTACTCAGTGGTGGGGCTTATGTCCCATAGCTTATCTTCCATCCAAAAATAACTTAAAACACATGGACCTGTTGGCCTCCTTTATCACAGGATAGTGTTTCTGACCTAACTAGTACCCTAGGGCTACCAGCATGTGTAAGGGACCACTCGAGAGCAGTTTCCCAGGATATCTCAGAGGCTAATTCAGACTGTCAGAACCCAGTATCCGAGGTCCTGCTTGAAGTGCTGATCTTCCTGGTGGGCTACATTCACCCTACCTACCACCCAGGATATGATGCCCACCCCCACTCCATGTCACCTTCATCAAGGAGTTGAATATGTTGGTGCCTGAGGGACACAGGCTGTTCTTCAGCACAGAGGTGGTCAGTGTGGTCAGTGTGTTGGAGCCACAGCAGTTGAGCTGCAGAGACCAAGAGCATCACTGTCAGCTTAGGAGCCTCAGGAGACAAGGGCAAGGTCAAGCATGCAGCACACCATCACCCCCAAATATACCTGGGAGCTGGCCTTCTGCCCTATTTGTCACACCGCTCAAGAGCCCTGTTTCTCCAAACCCCTGGGCGAATGAGGCCCATTAGGTTCCTACCTGGGGGGCTGGAGAGATGGCTCAGCCGTTAAAGGCTAGGCTCACAACCAAAAATAGGTTCCTACCTGGGGACCTACAAGTCATACAGACCCTTAGCCAGGCCCTGTTCTGTTGCTGATGTCTAGGAATAGACAGGACTCATCCCCCAAAGATCACACACACTAGGACTCCCACAACCTGCCCGCCCTGCTAGCCTAGCTGTACCGTCTCATGGAAGGTCTTCACCACAGCCTTGGCATTGTTGGCATCGTCATCCACCACAGCCTGTTGAAGAGCCTGGTCATAGAACTGCTTCACATCCTTGGCAATCTGGGGGAGAATCACAGTCACTTGTAGCATAGGGACTACCATCAAGAGCACCCAGCTTCCCCTGGTGAGCTCAATCAGATGCCGTCTTTTCTGTTGAGCTTCCAAGACCCTTCTACCAGCAGGCACCAGAAATCCAAAAAGCACCCTATAACCCATGGGCTCAGAGCAGTCCACACCTGTTACCCAGGCAAAGAGCCTCCCCAGTGAACCTAGGCTTACCTGGTCTTTGTTTACGAAGCCCCAGATGCCAGCAGCCACCTCACAGGCAAACAAGATCACAAGGCAGGTGAAGAACTAGGGGAAAGAAAAGGGCAGAGCCTTGACCAGCAAGCCCAAGCCTGGCCCTCTATAAGTGACCACATGACCAACAACTATGTGCTAAGGGGGTTGACCATATCCACCAACAATGTCCTGATTAAGAATGAGCCACACAGAACCATGAAAGATGTGATCTGATGCAGCTCAGTACCGAGATGTCCAAGTTCTTAGTCCTTACCCTGCTCCCCTGCTTTGCAGGATGAGGTTTGTATAGGAGATGCAGTTGACAAATCCAAGTGTCCACAGCCTCCAGGGAGGCATGTGCAGCAATATGCCCCCCCCCACCTTGACCTTAGTTTCCTTACCCGCTTTATCCTATATCCATGGGAAGTCTAAAAAAAGTGTGCTTCAGCTTTCCAGACTGGTAGGCCAGGCTCTAGAAATAGCTGAGACTCAGCTCCACCAGTAGCTACTGGGGCCAAGAGCACTAAGGCTGGCTTTAGGGGTGAGGCAGCCCTCTGGAGTTTATGTGTTTCTAAAGAGAAACTCCCTCTGCCACCATGAGACTTCAGAGTCAGACTTAATGGAAATCAAGCAAACAGAAAAGGCAAAACCTTAGAGAAGACAGAGGTTACCAAAAACCCTACTCCCCTGCCCTGCAACCCTTTCTACTTACCGTCCCCAGCAGGCACTGGGACTCTTGGATGGCCCCATAGCACCCCAGGAAGCCCACAAACATCATCACAGCTCCCACAGCAATGAGAATGTAGATGCCTGGGGAGGGGAAGAACTCAATGAGCAAGCTGCATGCATCACTCTTGTCTGGGGCACTCACACCCACAACAGGCAGTTTGGCAGTGTGAACCTTTTGTGCCTCAGTGTCCTGCTGAAGTTGCTGCCACTGCAACCAGAGGACAAAATAGCAATTCAGTGCCCAGCGAACACAGGTGATCTGCACGTCACAGATATGCTCTGCCCTGTAGCCAGTCCCCCACTACCTGTACCTGAGAATAGGAACCCTCAGCACTCACTGTAGAGGGCTAAGATGGACTACCCATCTCAGTGCATGAAATGGGGAAGCAGCTTTGGTATCAGCTATTGGCCTGGGAGTGGATACCCAGGACTCCCAGTGCTGGGTGAGTGTGAAGGCAAGGACTGGCTAGCCAGTAGCCAACTCCAGGCACCTCATCTCAGGCACACTGGTGTATAACTGCTCTGGTCACCTAACTCTAAGGACAGGAACCTGTGGGTGGGGTGGCTGCATGGCAGAGCACCAACACCTGCCACATATACTGTTTGGGCTGTGAATAAACGGGGGAGCCGTGAATAACCAGGGGAGCACTGTGACCCATGAGGCACCAGTTAGGCCATATCCCTGTTTCAGTGTCCATAGTACCCCTCAGCCCCTGGGAAAAACCACTGTCTCTGAAGAGCCCTCCATCTCTTGGTCCCTCAGCATACACAGCCCATCCCCCAGTCTCCATGGCAACACTGCCAGCAGTCCAAGCTTCCTTGCACAAAGCCAGGCCCATTGTCCCCTGCCTGGCCAGCCCAGGGGCGAAGGCGTCATGGCTAGGACCTACAGCCAGGCTTAGAAACAGGCCAGATCGTGGGCCTGGCTTCCTTTGACCACATTAAACGCATCTGGTCCAGGAAAAGCCTCCCACCAGGGCTGCCTAGGAGCTGGCTTCCCCTTTGACTCCAAACAGGTAGAACAACTAACCAGACTCCCGTCCTCAGGCTCTGAAACCTCAACCTCAAGATGAAGTAGGCTCTGTCACTACATCAGGCTCAGCAGGGGATGCACACAAGATACCTAACACACAGGCACTGTTCCTGGACTGCCTACAGACCCTCTAGGCCTAGCACATGTCCCATCTTAAGGTTCTGGGGTGTTGTCTGAAGTGCTCCCCCGTTTATTCACAGCCCAGACAGTATATGTGGCAGGTTTTGGTGCTCTGCCATGCAGCCACCCCACCCACAGGTTCCTGTCCTTAGAGTTAGGTGACCAGAGCGGTTATACGCCAGTGTGCCTGAGATGAGGTGCCTGGAGTTGGCTACTGGCTAGCCAGTCCTTGCCTTCACACTCACTCAGCACTGGGAGTCCTGGGCATCCACTCCCAGGCCAATAGCTAAGCAAGTCTCTGAACCAACTCTCCTAAGCACTAGACAAACTGCCTTTGTCAAGGCCACATCTGCTCTCAGCAGGGCTCAGTTCGGGGGAAGTAGGGGACTCCAGAAAATGGGCAAAAGAGATGGTAGCCAGGGTAGCTCCTACCCTGGGCTTTGCTGTCCAGGGACCAACCGCCCACACTCTAGTTAGTGCCTGAGGCTATTTCCTCAGTGCCCACGACAGCATGACCATAGAAAGGCAGGTGGTTGAGCAACTCTGGAGCTGGACCCTGATGCAGACTATGGTGATAACATGAGGACAGAGCCCTATCTGCTTCCTAGCCACCTATCTGGGCCCTGCAGGGTACCTAGCCTCTCCTGCACTACGGGTGCAAAGTGGGAGCTTTGGCCATAGCCTCACAGCATTCACCTTGCAGAAGGCCCAGGGGCAGAAAAGAGTCCTTCATGGGCCAGCACTCCTCCTGTCTCTGATGCCCAGATCACCCTTGTGAAGATGCCCACACCAGCTGCTACACAACAGGCTGAAGTTTCCATACGAGCTGGTGGGCATCCTCTTCCTTGGAAGGCACCAAATCAAAGGAGGCACAATCCCCACTAACACCCAGACCTGAAAACTGCTATTCCTAATGACTTTCCTCAAAAGAAACCAGGTTCTACCCCTGCCCACATTGCCTAGAACCCAACCCAGACCATTCTACCTGTGGGAAGGCTGTGGAGAGGGTAAAGCGGAGAAGGAAAAACAGCCACCCATGG